TAGGTAGGTAGGTAGGTAGGTAGGTAGGTAGGTAGGTAGATAGATAGATAGATAGATAGATAGATAGATAGATAGATAGATAGATAGATAGATAGATAGATAGATAGATAGATAGATAGATAGATAGCAAGCAAAGGACACAGCATAAAATACATAGATCCAAATAGGTACAGATACTAAATGACTAACATTTTAGAACACAGACAAGTTAAAATCAACTCACACAGTGTCAAAAGCAAGGGAATAAAAGTGAGTTTTTAAAAAAGACTTAAAAACAGTGAGAGAGGGAGCCTGCCTGACATGCAGGTGTAACTCATTTCACAGTTTTGGACTTGCAACAGAGAAGGTCCGGTCACATCTGAGCTTAAAACGAGTGACTGGAACCAATAAAAGTATCTGGTCTCCTGACCTCAGAGAGCACTGTGGGAGATATGGCTGCAGCAGATCAGTGAGATAAGAAGGAGCAGAACTGTTCAGAGATTTTAAAACATACAGAAGGATTTTTAAATGAATTCAAAAGTGAACCGGGAGCCAGTATAGGGAGGCCAGAACTGGAGTAATGTGCTCGATTTTGCCTGTACCAGTTAAAAATCAAGCTGGAGCATTTTGGACCAGTTGTAAACGTGCAGTGGAGGTCTGACTGATTCCAAACCCAAAAGCATTGCAGTAATCAAGCCTGGGTGTTATGAAAGCATGTATTACCATCTCAAGTTTATTTTAGGACAGTATGAGAATAACACTGCGTCCAAAAGTTGAGGTACATCTGATGATTATTTCTGAAGTTTTTGTAAAATTTGGGATATTTTAGTACCAGGCAGGCAAGTAAAAACCTTACTGTCCGCCTTTGCTGTTCAGCAACTGGTCTCACAAAAGCAAGTAATTTAATACTCTCAAGATAATGCCATGTGTAATAATGTTATAAAATATTATATATGAATTAATCCACCATGCCGTAGTCCCATCAGCAATAATCCGCTCTAAAGATGAATCGTGGCGGCTCGTTTATTGTTCTGAGCCCCTGACACCCAACTCCTGTTCCTATCCTAAATGTTAACCCCTGCAAGGTCAGCTTTGTCTCGGCTCGCTCTTAGACCAGCAAAGAGATCTGCCAAACGTTTGTGGAGCGGTTATGTGTCCTTCAGGATTGGGTTTCAAGTTCCCTTTAGTCTGTGCTCACTCAATCAAAAAGTTAAGATGATCCATTTGTTTAACACACAGGCCCATTCAGTTGCGCTCAAGGGAGCAAAGGAAGAATGGTGGAAGAGGGTGAGAGGGGCATGGGGGCAGAAGTAGCACCCCCCACCCCCAAATCAAACCTTGGGAGAAAAGTGGGAAGTAGGTGACCCGTCTTAAAAGTGTGGGAGGAGATAAGAGTTCCTCCTTCTGTTCTGAGAGACGTCTGTTTGTACTAACTTGGTTTTATCGCTGGAGAAAAGAGTCTGGGCCGTTTTGGGGGTCACTGAGGAGGAACCAACTCCTGCATGACTGGTTTACGTATAAAACCAATGATGGTGTCACTTTCCCATCATGAGCGGGTTTGTTTGTATACAAAAATAATAAAAAAGTTAAATATCAAGAACCACAGGACACATTTTAATGACGCCTTCATGATCACTGGATGTGCAGCTCCAAATGACAGCCACAGACGATTAAAATTAAAAAACACAAAACTGGCTACAGGATGGGGTAGAGGTGGGGCAGCCAATTTGGATCCCGAAAGTCCCAGGTTCGATCCCCAGCCATTCCAGAAGTGGGGGAGTGGTGGCGCAGAGGTTAGAGAGGTGGGCTTGTGATCCGAAGATCGCCGGTTCACGCCCCGGCCCCGACAACATCAAAAAATTGTGGGTGGGGTAGGTGAAAAACCCACACTTGCCCCCACCCTCATTCGCCCCACTCTGGGCCCATGAGCAAGGCCCTTAACCCCCACCATGTGCTCCCTAAACAGGTCTCTCTTGAAAATGAGTTCTCGTGGCTCAATGAGACTAACCTGTATAAATAAAGGCTAAATGAGAAAAAATAAAAATAAAAATTCCCACATATCGTTGTGTCTCTGAGCAAGACACCTAATCCTTAATTGCTCCCTGGGCGTTTATTTAACTGCCCACTGCTCCACCTGAGTGTATCCCAGGTGCGATGGATTAAATGCAAAGAACTAATTTTGCCATGTATGGAAACATACAATGATGACAACACATATCATTTTACTTTTATTTTACTAAATAAGTCCGTTTCACAGATACTGAATTAAAATTGGGTGTAGTGGCAGCTCAAACTACCACAGCAGATACTCCAAACACTCCACATTACACAACGTCTTTGCTTAAAACCTTGTCACTAACATTTGGCATCAACCCTGTCTGTCTGTTGGCAAGACATTGTTAACAAACAACCATCTTTACCCACTGGTCCTTTCTGGGTCGTATGGAGCTGGTGCTTATCTCCAGCAGTCACTGTGCGAGAGACAGGGGACACCCTGGACAGGTGTCTAGTCCTTCACAGGGACACGTAGAGACAAGAGAGACAAACAACCATTCAGTCTCCCACTCTCACCTAGGGACAATTTAGTTACCAGTCAGACTAACGTGCATGTTTTTGGTCTGTGGGAGGAAATCGGAGTACCCGGAGAAAACCCACGCAGCACGGAGAGAACATGCAAACTCCACCCAGAAAGGGTGGGAGGCAAACCTGCGACTTTCTCACTAAGAGATGTCAGCTCTAACCACTGATCTACTGTGCTGCCCCGGTTAAAAACAACTTTAGTGAAAATTTCTTAGAATAAAATACCAAGAGTTTGATTTCAAAACTCCTTTGACGAGTGAAGGCGTTAGCAAATTCAACCAAATTGCCACTAAAATCAAAACGTTTGTGTATCTAAATATAATAAATACCACTACCATACAACAATAATTGGAGGTTGGTCCAATTAGTTGAAGTGAAAGCACTTGGAAACCCTAATTCTTACAAAAACTCCATACATTTAAAGACAGAACACGTTTTCATGTCAATACGGCCTAACTAACATCTATAGCGTAAAATATATCATCATATTACATAACAAAACAAAGTTAAAGGAAAATGAACAAATATCTGAGTGAATTACCTGTTTGATATTTAAAACATATATTCCAGCATCAATCGTTTTAACACAGGCACTATGAGCCTTGGACACATTCATCAGCTCTCTTTCTTGGCTGCTTTTCCTTTTTTTTTGTGCACTGATGCAATCTGAAAAATGTGGGCCACAGCCATATATTGACCTCAACAAGAGGCCACCTGTCAGGAAAAAGCTGGGAACTCCAGTCGTAATTCCATATTTCAACTTTTATCAGTTAAAAAGCCTTTTTAGTGACCCACCATCTGCTCCTTGCGGACAGCAGGCATCAGTTACAATCGACTGTTGTGCAGGAAGATTGTTCAAGTCTCCTAAAAGTAATAAATATGCTACTCTAAAACAAAAACAGGATTACAATGCTTCACTTTAGATGTATAGATATGGAGTCAAAAAGCCCTGCAACAAAGTACGATATGTCTTCTGGGGTGTTTTGTTGGCTCTTTGTTGCGAGTCTTTCACAGTGAGCATGACTTGTGAGTGCAAAGGAGTTCACAGGTGCCAGGTACTGCAGCTGGATGGGGAGGAGGTTAGTGAGGGACAGGAAGGGGGGTAGAATTGGCAAAGGCTCATGGGAAAAATTGGATCTGCTTCCACTCAAGCTTCAACAAGCAGCGAGAAAACTTCGCCTCTGCGCATCTGTGACTGAGCAGAGGCGTTCAAGACGGGCAATTTTAGCGCTGTGAGTCAGCTGTTATGAGCAAAATATCTGCAGGGGAGCAAAGCTGAACGGTGCTTCAAAGAGCTTGTTGCTGACCATCAATTAACTCATTTTCCATATTTGATTTGGAAAGAGTGGAAAAATCTGTGCCAAGTGGTTCTACTCTAGGTTGTATGAAAACGAATCGGATACTTTAGAACAAAGTCTTCCAGATGCTTCCCCGTGTTCAGTGTGCTCAGCCCTTTGCTTTAGGAGATTCAGTTAATTAGTTTTAATTCCACACGGCCAACAGTTATTGCTGATTTGCAGAATAGCAAAGCAAAAACTTTCTTTTGAACCATATTAAACAAAACCGTGACATATTAGAACATCAAAGTGAAAACAGCCCTGACCCCGTCAGAAAACGCCTCTGCAAGGTCATCTATTTCAACAAGCTCTGATCCATCTCCATCACTAATGGGGGGGCTTCCAAATGTCACCACTCCTGTGCTAGATAAACAGAGAGCACCACCGCCAAACAAAGCGTGGCCAACAGTCCAACAGGACTGGGGGAATCTGCGGGACAGTGCTGGTGGGGGGTGCAAGATTTTAGTTCACACAGTAAAAAAGTTTTTAATCAGTTTGCCTTAACTAGTGCTCATAACCAAAACAACATAAGAAAACAGCTTCATGAACATCCTGATGCATGCTCAATAATCCAGGTAGAAACATCTAACAAACTTAAATCAGGTCCTCTGGATGGATTAAAAAAATACTTTGTTGAAACGTTTCGTCTTTTACCCAAAAGACTTTGTCGGTCTGAGGAGCTGCACTAAACTCAGTCTTATAAGCAGCACCTTTTCATAGTGGATCCACCAGTTCGTTAGAGTCAGCCAAAACTAGCTGTACTCATGATAAAAGAGGACCATCAGCCTCACAACCAGTTAGGTGCCCTGAGTGCTGCTTGCTATTCACAGGAGACAGAGTGATACTAGCAATACCAGCATTGTGAGAGGGGGACAGTTGGACATGGAGGCCTCCGCCCTTGTTTAAAGATCGACGGTTTCTCAGAGAGAGGGCAGGGGAGGAGGCTTCCATGTCCATTTGTCACTTTCTTACAATGCTGTTATTGCTAGTTTCACTCAGCCCTCTGTGAATAGCAAGTGGCCGTCAGGTCACTAACGATTGGTCATTAGGCTGATGGTCCTCCTTTTTCATGTGAACAGCTAGTTTGGGTGTCATCAGCAAGCTGGTTGATCCACTATGAGAAGGTGCTGCTTATAAGACTGAGTTTACTGCAGCTCCTCAGACTGAAGAAATGGATAAAAGATGAAACGTTTCAACAATTTTATTTGTATCTGTCCAAAGGACCTGACTTAACTTTGTCAGCTTAATGAACATTTATAATAATGTGTTGTCATCATTGTATGTTCCCATACAATGGTGAAATTGTCTCTCTGCATTTAACCCATCCACCCCCAAGTGCTGCAGTGGCCAGCTATTGAAGGCGCCCGGGGAGCAATCGGGGATAGGGTGTTCTGTTCAGAGACACCACGGGATGTGCAATGACTGGGGATCGAACCTGGGACTTTCGGGTCCAGAGTCGGATGCCCTGCCTCTACCCCATCTTGGCCCTCATGCATCTATCCATCTCTGATGAGCACCAGGAAATATTAATGGACGTTTCTCTATCAAACGCATTGATTGCCAGTTGCATTAAATTTTAATTTACCTACTTCACCAACATTTGAGCACCTAAAAACTCAAAGGAATGGTGCAGTCCTAACTGAAAAAGTTTTCTTTAAACAACACAACAGAGGTTCATGTTTCTATTCACTGCCAGTCAAAGTGGAGCGCTTAAACACCCAGATGTGTTGCTCCACTCTCATGTTAAACACCTTCCTCTTGTTTGGCCAGGACTTAAATTATCAGCAGATTTACTGTTTGCTTACATTAACAATCCTCCTGTCTGTGTGCACAGACTGTATATTATGGATCTGAGTCCACTGATCAGATTCTCAGCACGCGCTGTGGCTCTGATTGTGATTAACTCTTAACCAGTCATCATTCATCATTCCCTAAATTTAACCCAGTCAGTAGGAGTATAGAGTAAGACATGACTTGCAGTTTTCAGCCATTGTTACGCTGAATACAGCAGGTTTATGAGGTGCAGTACACTAGAAAGTAAAAATACACTGAAGATGAACATTTAGACTCCTTTGTGGGTTTAAACTACTAGCTGACATGTTAAGTGAGGATGCACAAAAGTTCTTCCATACCATACTTGCCCCCATCATCCCCGTTGGCGTTGATTTTCTTTCCCAAGATCTGAACATGTTTGCCCGTGGTTCTGCTGTAGAGCTGATAGATGCGGACCTGCTTCCGGCTCAGGTCGTCTGGGTTTCTTGTGTGGTTCTCGATGTAAAACCTAAAGTCAGCAGTGCTCTGCTGGGATTCCTGCACAGAGGAGTGAGACAGGAGCGTGAGGAGAGGCAGACAGGGAGATCGTCACAGCGCAGGTGTTGATTGTGATGTGTGCTCTGTGTTTTATGGGTTCTACGTCAAAGACGTTTGTGCTTCAGGGCTTACAAATGGAAATAATAACCCTAAAAGAAAACTGTGGTGGTGCCATTTGCTTTAATGTTTTACATGCCGTGCATTACAAGGAGCTAAATACATTACAAGGCATTCTAATGAAGTCAACGTCTGAGTAAAAATCCAGCAGAAGATGTAAGTAACTATGCGCTGGTTCTTATTGAGACAGAATATAATGTGCCCCGAGCATTACTGAGAAACCTGTACTCCATTTCCACAAGCAACCAAGCCACTAGCAATTATACACCTGAAGCATCCAGACCTGTTGCACTATCATCAAGCAAATATCTGCCTGAAGGCCAAACAGAGTCCATAAATTAGAAAACTCGGCAGGTGGAGGGCTCCACTGAGAAAGAAGGAAGTATCTCACGTCAGGAAAGTGTTTTTTATTTTGTATAAAACTGCACAAATCTGCATTCCATATCTTCACAACTTATTGTTTATGAACCAACTACAACCTGACAAAAGGAAAAAGGAAACTGCACTTTCAGTTGTACTTTTTTTTTAAAGGCAACATATACTTTCAGAAGCCCTGGAATTTCAGTGCAGGCCAAGATCTGATCTCCCAGCTGTATGGTGTGGTAATTGCACAGTAATTGCTTTTTATGTGGTTGTTCTCAGCTGGCTAATTACACAGGCATTACATACCCTGAGTCCTTGTTAATCTGCCTTCTAATGACACGTAGCAAACATGATGGTATATATGGTGGCTTCACATGAACAAATCCTTTAAATCAGAGACAAAAGACAAGCAGCCTCTGCAAATCAGCGCGCTGCTCTGCTCCTCGCATACCTCTTCTGAACCAGATGTCATACAGGTTTCCCCAAGAATGTTCCAGCAGGTTCTTTAAGAGGCCCAAAAGCCCAGCTTATGCTTTCTCCACCAAATGAAACTCGGTGAACTGAAGGCATGTCGAGGAGTTGACTTGTGCAGGTGCACTGGGACGCGTCAACACAGGACAAAAATAAAACTTTCCTTACTGTTTCTACAAATGTCTCCATCCACACCAAACACAGAAAATGACCAAAATGCTGCAGTAACAATACGAGGCCTGAATGTGGTGCTGTAACAAGAATATACTTGAAAGAAACACTGAAGCAGATGTAAACACAACAATCAGGGTGATTTGTCCTCAAACCTTCATGTCAAGCACCAACGGCCATAACAGCTAAACAAGGAGGACAAGCATGCAGGAACCAAACATGTAATACTGAAATGTGTCCAAAAACAAGCAGTTCAAGCCAAACTATCCAGAAATGTGTTCAAAGCTGCTCGTCCGTTGTCAGACATGAACCTCAAAGCTGACAAGCAAAGAAAAGAAGCTACGGCACAACACAACACTGAGCCGCTGAGGGATTTATCCCAAATCTTCCCCTCTCTAAACAAATATGAAGGTGTCTTTGGGAGACAGTGGGATTTCATCTGAATGGAGAGGCAAGCCTAAGCACATGGGCGAGGTGAACGCTGCAGTGACAGAGGTGTAGTTTTTATCACGCGTCTCTTTTCCTCAAAAGAATGAAAACGGAAATAGTTTCAACTTCAAACGTGGAGCAGGCGTCAGCTGAGCTGTTGCATCTAAGATACGCCGCACTATCTTCTTAAAACAGACGGGTGGGATCCACGAAATCACACACACACGATGGCAGTACAAAACCTTCCAAACTTTGATTCATTCCTCCCTTTACATTTTTATTGAATAGTTTATAACTTATTAGAATATTCTATTATTTTTAAAATCACAAACTATAATGTTCATTTTATTAAAACGGGACGCAACAAAGTGAAACTGTTTTAATGCCAGGCATTAAAGAGGCAATAAAGATATTTTTATTATTGATATAGTTATTAAACTAACTCCATTTTGTAACGATAAGCCTTTTTAAAAAATAAATCCATATTCCTAACTTCTTATACAAAACTTTAATACTCAGATTTAATCAGATTTAAACATCTAAAGAAATTACATTATAAAAAGGACTTTCAAATAAATGTAGGGTTTTCAATATGTGTGTTTTTTACCTTGTTTGACCTGTATTTTCATTACTTTTATGTATTTTTGTGCTTATGTATTTAATGGAAATTTAGCTGAAAAATTAGCAAAAGGCACCCAAGATTATCCCAAACATTTCCTGCAATTTCTGTGTTCAAAATATGCATTAATAATACATTTTCCTGTTAAATTTAGTTTAAAATTACATTTTAAAAACAGCTGATTACGCCGCCTGTGAGATGTTTAACTGTACAGAAATAGATTACAGATTAAAACCAGCCACTTCCTGTTTTCCTTTTATTGTTAATCCCAAAGATCGTCCACAATATTTATTTAGAAAATATAAGTAAATTGCTGCCAGCCTGTTGGGCAACAGGCTGATCAGTAGCTCTGAGATAAGCCTGTCCAAAGTAAATCCTTTCAATTAGCTGAGTGGCTCCTGCCAGTAATTAAGTTCAAAGTCAGACAAAAGTAAAATCTGAGGAAATGTGACGTCATCTCATGAAATTTCACCTGCAGGGCCCGAAATATTTACAGCACAACTGTACTTTTAAAATCCTGAAAGCTGACAAGAAATTATTCTATTTTCTGCCATTCATATATATATTTTTTTTCCGGATCGTAAATGAATTACTGTATGATAAAATGACGTCATTGGCTCATATCGGGAACCCCATTATTTCATCATTACATCACGAGCACAAAATCAAAATGAGAGTAAACGTACCTGTAGCTGGAAATAGAGCACCAGAAAATGTAAACACCTAAGAGGGAAGAAGAGAGGAAGGGTGGGGGTGAATCACACGCAATTACACGAAAAATCCACGCAGCCTACCTGCGTGACACCAACGCACAAATATGACGTTTTTGGCGACTTCTATTGGTGAGAATGCGCGAGTTTAAGTGAAACAGAGATGTGGGACACTTACAGGTAAATGAACCTCGAAGGCAGCAGAGACATCTTGGCTTTCAGCTGAAATACACCTGCTTCCACGGACCTGCTTCCACGGGTCCCGAGCCCAGGAAGGGTTGCTCAAACCGCCCTCCTCTCGTTTCTCTGGCTCTCGAGCTTCCGCACCGCTGCGCGTCTTTTACGCACGCAGCTCCGGGGGGAAGCGACACATTGGATCCCAGTGTGAGGACGGGTGACGGGAAAGCAGCAGCACAGTTACGGAGAGCAACATCTGGCGCTTCCTTGTTGGGGAAAAGAACCACAAGACTTTTTTAGTCTCCTCTGTTCCTCCGCAGATGAGAAGTCCTCCGTGAACTGGTGCCAAGAGTAAAATGGAATCACTTCACGAGAGCTCAAAAGAAAAAAAAAAGTGTTTCTTAAAATGTATCCATTGAATTTTACGCACTAACGTCCCCCAAAAAACTCCCCTGCTCCTCCAGAAATCACAGGCTCCCCACCTCCGTCCGTACCTGTGGGGGATTTTTACACCTTGAAATGATCATTTTATTCTGCCAAGGGCTGATGCTGGAAAAATCAAACGATTTCAAACATGAGTTCCTCAGAAGACAAGTCGAGCAGACGAACTTATCCAAGTTCTAGATATTTTTTTGTTTTTTTTAAAGTTGAGCCTCAGCAGCAGATCCCTGGAGAGATTCGAGGCTGGTGATGGCGCAGCACTGCCTGTCAGTGGTGTTTGTGCGTCTGCAGCTTCCCTCTTGGGCACGGAGGCTTTTTTTGGTTGTTGGTGGGTGGAAACATGTCAGCGGTTTGCACCTGATAGGGTGATCCTGCAGAGACCATCAGCTTGGAGACATTCTCTGTTTTCTTGCTCCTGATGGGCACAGTGCGCAGCATCAAGGACTTCAGGGAAACTTTTTTTTTTTTTGAAAGTCGAACTTTTTTCTGTGACTACCTTAAAAAAATAATCACATTTGAATGAAAACATCCGTGTCTGACAATCTGATTTTAAAACTTTTTACGCACGAAAATGCGTAAAATACACAATCGGTGCGTAAAAACATGTTTTATTTCAGTTAAACTTATCTTGTCAGGATTAGTAGAATCAGTGGAGCGTTTTGTGAATTGTCCTCTTTTGGACAAGATTCAAAAGCAGGATGTTGTTCTGTTTGTTTTTTCTAACTATGCGCCATAACTTAACCCGACATTTAAATACAAGAGAGGTGCGAATTTGTTTACGAGTTCCTCAGAGTTTGGCAGCACTAAACTAGGCCCACATCATAAAAATGAGAGGAAAACGATCCCATCGTGGTTCGATTTTATTGTCCCATTAAAGCTGGATCCTCGGGATTCCTCCTTCATTGACATTTAAAGTGATTCTAAATAATTACATACATGTTTCTGTGCAGGGGATCCTGCAGCTGCTGAGCAACAAGACAACCATTACTCATTTTCTCTTATTTGCAAGCATATTTAAAAAAAGAATTCAGGTTCTTTTTTCTGGCTTTAAGTGAGTTTATCTCCTGTGATTCATTAAGAGCCCTTGATCCTGTCAATAATCCCTGCAACCCAACTAATGTAAATGTTCCTATAAAGCATGACTAATTTGTCTGCCTCAGGGAGGGAAATCACAGCCAAATGCAGCAAACAGTAATTATCCAGAACGCTAATTCTATGACGTCTTTACAAATGCAAGACTTTAGGACTGTTTGATTTTAAAAAGGGCTTACGTTAGAGCTGCTGCTCACCACTGACAAAGATTTATCTGCAAGTCAAAGGAAGGAGGCACCTGACAGCTGATTTACAAGCAGGATGATAAACAGCAGTTAGCACTTGGCTGGTGAAAGAGTCAACACTGTGGCTTCACTCATCATCCTTTGAGCACATTTTTAGGACAAACTTTTCTGTAAATCCACGACTGGGAAATAGGAGCGGCTTGGATGTGGCCACCTGTGAGTCAGATGGGAAACATAACAAAAGTCAACAAAAGTTGATTATTTTTAGAAGTTTTCTATCAGTCTTGAAAGTGAATAGTTAATGGCTGGGAGCCATGTTTTACATGGTTCTGGCATGCACTTGTCTCGTCTAATAGTTACTTTGGCAGCTGACCAATCAGGAGTCGTGGGTATTCTAAAAATGTAAACTAACACATAGCATAAAATAAGTTAAAAGAGAATAAAGTAAACGCATTTCTGATCTGTTGACACATAATCTGACTCACAATTAGGCCTTGCAGGAATGCATATCACCTGCCACCTCTCCTGAGATGTGTTAATGCTCAGAGGTGTCGGGGACGACTTTCAACTAAACTTTACCTCGTTAGCTGTGATTTTTACAAAGTTATCGCCATTTTTGTGATTAGCTGAAGCAGCCATCAAATGCCAGTCAGCTGTAGATTTACACGAGATGAATACTTTCTGAAAGATTGGTTGACGTCATCATGAGATATTTTGCTAAAAGGAAAAAAACAGGGTTGGTGCTAATGATTAAAAGAAATAAATCACAAAGAGCTTGCTCAATGTGTAGCCCCCAGAGTGGACGGACGGACGGACACTTTATAAATCCCAAGGGGTAAATTTGAGGCATCCAGTAGCATTTCCTTATTTTTTCTTCTTCTTTCGGCTGCTCCTTCTTCAGGGGTCGCCACAGCGAGCTAACTCACATGAAGACTTGCTGATTGTTTTTACTCCGGATGTCCTTCCTGACACAACCACAGACCATGGAGCTACCACAGCTCTCTGTGTGGAGCAGAGAGCTGTTAGGACACCTGGAGGAGCAGATGATGGAGGTTAAGGGCCTTGCTCAAGGGCCCAGAGTGGGGAAAATGAGAGTGGAGGCAGGTGTGACTTTCCCCACCCACATTTTGATGTTGTCTGTACCGAGAGTTGAACCAGTGATATTTTGATCACGAGCTCACCTTCTCTGGCCTCTGCGCCACCACTCTCACTCCATCCAGTGGCATTTTCTATCCATCCATCCATTCTGTTTTACCCGCTTCTTCCATTTCAGGTCACAGGGGTCACCGATGTCCATGTCCAGCAGTCACTGTGCGAGGGGCGGGGGACACCCTGGACAGGTCTCCAGTCCATCACAGGGACACATAGAGACAAACGATCATTCTCTCTCTCTCTCTCACCTAGGGACAATTTAGAGTCACCAATCAGCCTAACATGCATGTTTTGGGTCTGTGGGAGGAAACCGGAGTACCCGGAGAAAACACGCATGCACAGAGAGAACATGCAAACTCCACCCAGAAAGACCCCCGGACCGGTATTTGAACCGGCAACCTTCTCGCTGAGAGGCAGCAGCTCTACCAGTTGCGCCATCGTGCTGCCCCTAGCATTTTCTAATTATACAAAAAATAAAAGAGAAGAAGAAACAGAATACACAAATTTGAAAAAAGACAAATATGCACCAGCTGGTAGGGAGTACTACATTCATGATTATAAGGATGAGATGATTCTCAGCAACTACCACATCCAAATTTAGCTCAGTATTTTTATAATTTACCAAATCATAAACATTTTTTAATTTTTCATAAAGCTGTTGTGTCCATGGAGGATTGAGTTGACTCCAAATTCCATCCATCCATTATCTTTACTTGCTTCTTCCTTTTCGGGTCACGGGGGTCACTGCTGCTCAAATCCAGCAGTCACTGTTCGAGAGGTGGGGGACACCTGGATGGGTCGCAAGTCCATCACAGGGACACAAAGAGAACCATGTTTCTGGTCTGTGGGAGGAAACCAGAGTACCTGGAGAAAACCCATGCATGCACGGAGAGAACATGCAGACTTCACCCAGAAAGGTCCCGGGCTGGGATTTGAACCGGCAACCTGCTCGCTGAGAGGCAACAGTTCTACCTTTACCTATACAGGTAGCCTCATTGAGTCACGAGGACTCATGTTTAAGAGAGACCTGTTTTTGGGAGCAGATGGGGGTGGGGGGCAGGTTAAGGGCCTTGCTCAAGGGCCCAGAGCGGGGCAAATGCGGGTGGAGGCAGGTGTGGTTGTTTCACCTTTCCCACCCAAAATTTAATGTTGTCAGTCCGGGGAATCAAACCGGCGGCCTTCTGATCACAGGCCCAGCTTCTCTAACCTCTGCGCCACCACTCCCTACAGTGTTACAAGTTTCACCAGTTGCAGAAATACACGTACGGACTGGTGTCTGAAATGTTATTAAAAATACGTCTAGTGAGATATTTTGCTAACAGAGTTGACTGTTACTGGCGAAGTTTTAATTCCACACAAAATTTGAGTTCAACCTTTTTAAAATCGGCCGAGTCACAGACAAGCTCACCTGCTGTGGTGGCCATCTTGAACTGGATTGACGCCAAAGGTTAATCAGTGTCCAGTGATTACTTCCTGGAAGTTTCATTCACATCTGTTTATTAGTTCACGAGATATTTTACTAAAAATAGTAACTAAGTGATTGACACATGAATAATAAAAAAAACAGAAATGAGACAATATGTCTCATATGGGTGAAATGACTTTTCAAAATAAAGGCTGAACAAACCTGCCCGCTGACGCTTTTTGAAGCAACAACAAAAAAACGTGATAAATCAGAGAATCGATCAAAAGCTGGATGCCTCTGCAGCGGAACAAGAAAGGGCTTTGTGAACGAGGAGGAGGAAAGCTGTTTCAGTCAAGTTCCTGAGGTTTGGAGGAGGGGTGAGGCGGAGGGCGGGGGGCAGCCACTCAGGAGCTGGGATAAGGTTACCCACACAGATTAGCTGACAAGAGCTAGACAAAAAAACAAGCAAGCACATTAAAGATCTTGGTTTACCGAGCTGAGCTCCACAGACACTGAAAGAACTCGAAAATTATTATTTTTTTTTCTCCAATTCCATAAAATTTGTTCACAACAGAAAACTGAAGTCAGGCCTTGCAATGTGCCGAATGACGCTACTCCCAGAGTCCTTTCAAGCCTTTGAATTTGAACCGCTTCCGTGCAGTTATGCGTGTCTGTCTGCAGCGGCGGGACTGTGGGAATGTCACCGAGGATATCTCATTGAACCTGGAGGAGGAGGCATCCGAGGGCGGGCGAGCGCTCTGCAGTTCAAAGGAGCCTGGCAGCCATTT